GTATGTATATTTGTATATATGAATATATGTATAAATGTATATATATATGAATATATGTATAAATGTATATATATATAAATATAGGTATATGTATATATTAGGTATATGTATATATATATAGGTATATATAAATATATATACAATTATATATATAAATATGTAGTACATATATATATATATATATATATATATATATATATACCTTGAGTTGTGTTCCTATCTGTATCTGACTTATCCGCTTGTGCATTTGTATAGCTCTTCTCACTTTTCCCCACACTGCTGCTCCATCTCAATCGCTTAGGTGGTCTGCTTCTGCCGCCTCCACTCATCTTTGGCACGGTTACTGTCACCTCAGTGTGAAGGTATTCTGAATCATAACCATCGATAGCAGATACCTACTGAAAACACAGTGCAATGAATATTGTGCGTATGCGTGGTTAGTGCTTACTAGCGGAACGCGGATAAATTCTAACCTGACTTCAATTCAAGCAATTCTGTAGAATGGTATATCACTACTTATGCTAATTGCAACTATGTTGAGCTGAGTTTGAGTATACCCAGTTGTTCCCGAGAATGTATATAGTGCATTCAGTAAGGCGCGAGACAGTGTGATCTACGACTGTGAGGAAGTGTAAAGAAAACTTGTAAATAGCTTTGATTTGTGTACTATTGAAATGCAAAAGCCATTCCTTTTATTATTTTTTAGTGTTATTTATTTAGTTCACCGTGTTGGTTTAACCGTTCTTTTAGTTCTAAACGCCGGTTGATACTTGTTACAAAATACGCGCGGGATTTTGAATCATTATGGCTTTTTGTTTATCTTTGTTTGTTTAAAAAAAAACCCATACTGTGGCCCAAAAGATCGCGCGATGATTATGTACTGCGAATATAAATAAAAAAAACCGTATTTAAAAATAAACAAATGATGTAGTCACGAAAAGTAACCATTCTAGCCCAAAACCAAAACAATAGAAAAAAACATCCCACAATAAGACAAAACATTAAAAAAAAGAAAGGCACTAGAAAAAACATTAAAAATAAATGCTCATTTTGAAGAAGTCACAATGTTAGTGTCAACGATTGGGAATGTTTTGTTTATCAGAAAGCAAACGAATCTAAAGTTCCATAACTGAAAGTCTGAGACGCGACCCAGCCAGTTCCACAGACCACAGTTCCGGGCCCAGTCCTCCAACAAGAGAAGGGGACTCACTCAAAAAGGCCAGATTCAGACTTCATTACATACCTGCTTAGGTGTCCATCTGTCGGTCACATTTTATGTGCAGATAAAACCTCCTCAAATTTCGCTCTTCGAGCACATTGGCCTTTTAAAAAAAATAGAAAATGGAATAAAAAATGGCCTTTTTTAAGTGTACTTCTTGAGTCGCATTCGTGGATATTCTGTTTACATACGTACGTTGTGGTCGTGAGTCATGTCATGTTCGCGTATGAAATTGGACCTGTGTTTCCCAATCACTGGGGGGATAACCAACACAATTATATAAATAACCCATCGGCCCTCAATTATAATGTTAACACGACGGGGGACGGCCACTATTTAACTTTTTTTCATAGTCAAATATACAAAAAATGTTTTTGAAAAGAAAAAACATCACTTTCTAAACAAACAAAAAAACGTTCAACGGTTGGCCAATGGGCTATGCCATACGCCCTATATTTATGACATTATGAACTAACAATATGCTAAAAAATATGTACAGGATGTATTTTTAGATTTTTAAAATATGGCCTATTTTTTTTAACTCTTTTTATAAACATATTTATGAAATATTTACATATGTATGAACTACAAGTTCTAAAAAAATAAGAAGCTTTGTATATTTATAGCCCTTTTATTTGTTTTCATCATGGTCTTAAAAAAACAAAAACAGACAATGGCTAATAATGCCTGAGTTTTACACATGGGCCTATGACCCATGGCATATTTGTCTATTCAAATCGAACACACTTGGTTTTCTTTTGATAAAAAAAAAGAATGTTTAAAATATATATATGTACATACTTAGTCCCACAGCGGGGTCCAAGCGAATATATATATATATATATATATATATATATATTGTTCTAATAAAAATGTATACATATTACATTGGCTAGAATTGAAGTATGTACAGTATTTAGAGAGTCCTGAGAGAGCCCTGAGAAGTTGTAACACGATTGTAAAACGGGAAGTATACTCCTTACACTTTCGAGAAATTGTAGGGTGTGCATAACAGGGTGTTGATCCCCGTTAGTGTGCGTATAGACTATGAATTCAGTCCCTATGGATGTGCAACGCAACGTCCATCTGTATCCCTTTAAAGAGAAAGCGGGTAGGTTCATTGGTGTGTGCAAATATTGAGCTTTTATATGATATGTGGAAATTCACTATTGCTGATAAAATATTGTTTCTGTTTCCATGATTTTGTTTGGCATAGTACGATCGACTTAATGGCTGAACAAAATGATAGTCTTACATGCGTAAACCAAAATTTATGACTTGCAGCCTGATTTTTCATGTACATAGCACCGAAACACCCCTACGAATAAATACAGCAGAGTTAGGTGCATATGTTTAATATTCAGAAATGTGCGTGCGTTTAATATGCACAAAAAAAAAGTTGATCGGATTTATCAGCTATCTGTGGCGGCCTCTTGTTGCATTCTGGGTATCATCAGCGTTGTGCATACGGAAAATATCGCAACAATTGAAAGTCCCATAATGTTCCCAAGCTGTGAGATGGGTGTCAACTGCATACCAGATACATAAAATGATGTTAGAAACTACATTACGTCACGCAAATGAATCGGGACAAAAAATATGATACTTTTCTAATAAATATAGTGTAGAATAAAACGGCGTTTAAAACGAGTCAAGTGAAATGGGAAGACCATACCTTAGCATACGCCTTGTCGCCTTGGTAAAACCCAAGCTTCTCTTGGATACCCAACAGCATAACAACCAAAGCCAGCAGATAAAGAACGACACCTGCATGATCAATATGTATATTGATAGTGTTATAGTCCATCATTTTACACTATGTTCAAATAATAGGAGGATTGTTTACAGAATATACTGAAGGCAGGTGTAAGTGCTTCTAAATTTAGTCAGAACTCAAACTACACAACCCTACTTGTACACGAATAGAGAACCACGCTATGTTTATGCAGGCAGATTACAGTTGGATATAGGTTGATCGCGTCACATAGACAGTACCACAACTTACCCATGTGCTTGTGTATGGGCACAAATGAGACGCGGTTTTCAACCGGGACGACTCCCGAGATAAAAGAGACTACCGCTCCCACAACCTGAGATTTTGATGTGAGGCAGATCGATTGTGATAAAATCAGACAAAATGACGATTACTAACGACAGACATGATCCTACAAGCTGGTACAAACTATCGGACACACATTAGATGCCCATGCAGCGAATTCACAAACAGCCTGTACTCCTGCGGGAATCGTACAGGGGTGTATCACGTATACCAGGAAAATCTACCTATAAGAGTCATTTTGATTAGTTGGTTCCAGTATGCAAGCATGAATAGTCTAGCCGAGTTCCAACAAATATGGACCTTGGAATCCGTATACGAAAACTGCATAGGTGAATGCATTGAATGTGTAAGCAAAAAGAGCACTCCTAGGGGGTTGATAATTGACTAATAGTGGACACCGGATGTAGTGAGAAAACACTCGCAACCTACCTGAAGACCCCAAAGTATCATAGCTACCAAGCCCAGCCAGGAATGCAATGAATACAGGTTGGCAATTGGGGGCTGGTGTTGGTTGTGGAACTTGAAAACCGCAACTATACCTACCACAGCCAGTACAAAACCAGACACCTGTACACTGAGGTGGATGAATTTCTTCGTTTGATGGCTCAATCCATCGGGAAGCATACGCCAGGACATGATACCTGGACAATGTTTGAAAGATGATTTGAAACCTCGTATGTGCTCTAATTGTATATCAACCTTGAAAGAAAGCTATCGAACACATGCGCACCCACGTGAGAGTATAGAACCATACATTCGTTTGTATATATATAGATACCAGCATATCCGATATATGAATAGCAACAGCGAGATCTTCGAATCGACGACAAACACATACATACTTAAGTATAAGAATAGACGCAGACACGCGGACACGCAGACACGCAGATAATACACATATATACAATAAATATATCGCACACAAAAGCCAGAATGAGAAGATATCGTTAGGTGTATACTGA